TGCGGAGTGGGGGCCACCCAGCCACAGCGCCTTCGGTTCTGGGGGCCTTGTAGGGAGACGGGTCAGGTCTAGCCTGCGGACAGACAAACGGGGGGCCTGGGGGAACCCGCGCCCAAACCTGTCAGGCTGGTTTGCAGGCCAAGCTGGGGGAGGGGGCGGCCCGAGGCCCCCCTCCCCGTCCCCCCTCCCTCTACCCTCCCGTGAACAAAGGCTGAGTGTTTGCCCCGAAGCGTGAGGACAATGGTCCGGATTCTAGCCCCATGGGGGAGGGGCCCTTGGACCACATTTGACTCTCCAACCCTCCCCCTTATTTCTAGGGCAACACCTCCCCACCCTCCAGGTGGAGGATCTGCCAGGGGTCAGCCAATCTGAAGGTGGAGGCCAGTTCGCTGGCCATCCTCCTGTCCTAGAGAACCCCCTTGTGGGGTTGGCCAGGTGGCAGCTCCCACCTCCACCCCTGCAGCTACCACCCCCCCAACCCCCACCTCCACCGCTGCAGCTAGTGCTTGTGCTGTTTGTTTAAACATTTATGCAGTGCCTACTGTGTGTCCTCTGAGAAGGGGAGGGGGTGGCATCGGGCGTTGGCTATTTGGACTCTGGCCAGTGTGGCAGGTGCCCTGGTGGCACTGTGGCTTGGGCGTTGGGCTGCTTGCAAGGTTGGCAGTTCAAAGCCCCCAGCTGCTCAGCTGGAGAAAGATGAGGCTGTCCGCTCCAGAAAAGGCTTATGGTCAGGGAACCCCCAGCTGGGTGGGAGGGTATGTGGCTTGGGTTTCAGGGTGGCTCAGTGGTTATACCGTAGGCTGCACACCCCCAAGGTCAACAGTTAGAAACCGTCGGCCACTTCTTGGGAGAAAGATGAGACTTTCTCTGCAGTCACGAGTTACAGTCTGGGACACCCACCTCGTCCTGCAGGGTCACTGTGAGCCTGGATTTAAACCCACAGTTCTACCCTACCCTATAGGGTGGCGCCAGTGTGTAAGAGCATTGCCCAGAGGGTCCCCAGAGCTTAAGGCCTGCTGCAGCTTTCTCCTGGGGGCTGTTGGGGGTTCCGACTGCTGGCCCAGTGCCCACCCAGGAGGAATTCCACACATGGGGAGGCTGCGCTTGGTTGGGGGGTGGGGTGAGGGGGGCAGGGTGAGTCAGGAGTATGAGTGGCACAGGGGTCAAGGCCGAGTTGGACACAGGTGTGGGGGCAGAGAGAAGTGAGGGTGGGGTGCACTTGCTGAAGGAGGGACTGTGGGCTGGAGGAGGCGTGGGGGCCTTTGTTGATAGCTGGCTGAGGGTGGGCTAAGGGAGGCCAGGCAGTCTGTGGGCCTGCGGCTGTGACACCGGCCTCCCGTCGCCCCCAGCCTCGCTGCCCTTTACCATCCTGACGCTGGTGAACACCCCGTACGTCCGAGGGTTCTACTGCACCGACGAGTCCATCCAGTACCCGTACCGCCCGGACACCATCACCAATGGGGTCATGGCCGGGGTCACCATTACTGCCACCATCATTCTCGTAAGGCAGAAGGTCCCGGGGTGACTTGGGGGACAGGACTCTATTGGGGATCTGGGGGAGCATTCTGTTCTTCCCTGCTGCCCTGGGGGTACCTGTGGACCAGCCCCTTCCCCAGCCAGGTCCCGATGATCCCTTTGCAGGTCTCCTCCGGGGAGGCCTACCTGGTGTACATCAACCGCCTGTACTCGCGCTCCAACTTCAACAACTACGTGGCTGCCGTGTACAAGGTGCTGGGCACCTTCCTGTTCGGGGCCGCAGTAAGCCAGTCCCTGACCGACCTGGCCAAGTACACGATCGGCCGACTGCGGCCCAGCTTCCTGGCCATCTGCGACCCCGACTGGAGCCGGCTCAACTGCTCCGGGTACGTGCAGCTGGAGAAGGTGTGCAGAGGCAGCCCTGCCAACGTCACGGAGGCCAGGTACGTGCCACTGGGTACTCAGCCAGGTACTCAGCCAACTGTCACCGGGGCCCGGCGGGTGTGGGAGCGTGGACAGCATCATTGGAGCTAGGTGGATGTGTGTGTGTGGGCTGGGGGGAGGGGGCAAGGCCAGTGGCTCTGGGGCTCTGGTGTGGGCAGGGATCCTAGCCACGCTTAGGTCAGACAGCTGTTTGGGGCTCTGTTGCTTTTATGGAGGGTGGACTTTTAACCCGTGGGTTTATGGGACAGAGAAGGTGGGAGAGTATCCTTGACCCCGATGGACGATAGATAACGCGGGGCAGAGAAGGTGAGCTTGCTGGGTGCCAGAGCTCGGCCCGGGTTTGCTGGTGAGGCCTGAATGCCCCCTCATGGCCATCCTTGTGCCTGCTGCCGGCTGGGTTCCCACACAGAGGTCACCCCAATCCCCTACACACACCCCCCCCCACCTGAGCCTGCAATCCCCTGTTCTCAGGTTGTCCTTCTACTCCGGGCACTCCTCCTTCGGCATGTACTGCATGGTGTTCTTGGCGGTGAGTGGGTGCCCCGGGGAGGGCAAGGGGTGAGTCAGGGTCCTCGCTGGGCTGCTGATGCCCTGTCCCCCCGGCCCCACCCAGCTCTATGTGCAGGCCCGGCTGTGCTGGAAGTGGGCGCGGCTGCTGCGGCCCATGCTGCAGTCCCTGCTGGTGGCCTTCGCCCTGTACGTGGGCTACACCCGCATCTCCGACTACAAGCACCACTGGAGTGACGTGCTGGTGGGGCTCCTGCAGGGGGCAGTGGTGGCAGTCCTCACGGTGAGCCTCCCGGGCCCTGCCCCTTCCCCTGGGGCCTCTCCCCTCCCCCTGGCTCTGTCTCTCTGCCCTCACTCCCATCTCGCTGATGTTTCTCCCCAGTGCCCTAGCCCCTACGCACCCATGAGATTTCATCCTGCCCCCGTTTCTCACCCTGACGACCCCAGCCCCCCGCTGCCCCTTCCCACCCCAGAGACCCCCTGGGGCCCCTTGCCCTCCTCTATGCTTGGGACTCTCCCTCCTCGCTGCTCCCATTCCCTGCTCCCTGCCCCCACAGCACCCAGTACCCCTCTCACTCTGCTGCCATGCCCCCCGCCCCTCGCCCACGCCCAGGTGCTCTACATCTCGGATTTCTTCAAAGCTCGGCCCCCGCAGTGCTGCCCAGAGGAGGAGGAGGAGGAGGAGCCGGAGCACAAGCCCAGACTGTCACTGAGCGTCTCCCGCAGCGAGGTTGACCCCCGCAGCGAGGTTGACCGCAACCACTGTGGATACCCCATTTCCTCCTCCTGATGCTGGGGGGCCTGGCCTCATAGGAGGTGGGGGTCCTCACAGGCCTCACTGATGGGCACCCCGCGACTGCTGGTTGGGCCAGGTGGAGGGCCCTGGGGTTGAGGACAGCACAGGGAGTGGGTCACCCCTTCCTGCCCTCGGTGCATAGAACTTGGACTCACTGGGTGCCTGGAGCAAACGTTTGGGGAGCAAACACTTAGGCCCTTTCACCCCTAGGACCCCCGAGTTCCCTAGGGAAGTGAGGGCCAGGGATGGGAACGGATGCTGTTTTTGTAAGCAGGAGCGCGCCCCTGACCTTTTAGTAAAACAGATGATTTGTTTGAAAAGCATTTTTTCTTATTTTAATTTTTTTCTAGACTTCTCAGTGCCTGCTTTGTTCCCCAGGGGTCCTTTGAGGTGGATGCTCCCTTTCTGAGTCCTGTACCCAGTACCCCTGCTCTCAACACCTGAACGGACAGGCCGGAGCCCACCCCTCCCTCCTGGATGCTTCAGCCCCCACTCTTGTACAAGTCCCATGGCTCTGCATTCCTCGCCTTGTTCTTGTTTTTGACCGCCCTTGCTCATCTTCGAAACAGAGTTTAAAGCAAGAATCTTTAAAAGTTTAAAGGAATTGGAGTTTGGCTTGCTCATGCCAGGGGCCTCCTCTCTGTCGCTGCCCCGCTACCTTCACCAAGCATGAGGTCCTTCTCCAGGGACTGGTCCCTCCTGACAATACGTCCAAAGGATGTAAGAAGAAGTCTTGGCATCCTTGCTTCTAAGGAGCACCCTGACTCTCCTTCTAGGACAGGCTTGGTGTGTTTTATTTGGGGGCAGTCCGTAGTACTGGCAACATTTCTTCGCCAGCACCCTAAGTCTCTGGTCTTAATTCAATGTCCAAGCGCCGCCCAGTATCTGAAGGTGGAGCAGCTCCTTGGGCTGGGTCTGTTGCCGAGGGGTGAGTGCCACAAAGTGCTGGAGATGTTCGACTGGAACCTGGAACAAGCGGGCTGCCACCTCGTAGCCTCCTGCGGCCCCACCCACCACAAGCGCTGAGTCAGAGGGCCTTCCGAAGGGATCGCTGGAGCCCATCCA